CTGTGAGCCATGCGGCTCTTGACTCGGGTGCAACCGCAACAAACAAAAACATGAGCAAAGAACACCTTAAAGTGACGACGCGCAACAGAAACATCCTGGAAAAACAGCAAAATCTTCCAGAAAAAACCCACTATCAACGCTACATTGCCCGTCGACACGACACACTGCACTGCACACATCCCCGTGTAGACACCATCGGGACACGCGCGCCTCGTGCGAGGGTGGGGAGGGATCGGCAGCACCACGCCCAGCCACCTTTATCTACCTAGCAGCTATTTGTACATCTCCCCAGGTACTCATTTGAGACTAAGTCGACCTAGGGGAGGCCTGTTTCTAGCACTGCCGCTAGCCTCTGCGCCACACGAACGGTGCGCCAGCACACGGCCTCGCCGTGCAGCAGTGCAGAGGCCTCGTCTAGGGTGAGCTCTACAGGGACCCTCTATGGCGTATTCTGGCCTACTCTTACACGTATTTGAAGTAGTGGGCGTACTCACGCCCATGCATACCTCTGAGTAGACAGAGGCGATGTGAGTTGAAACATCTGTCCCAATGTTTAAACTGAGGCGCTGGGAGATCGACTAGAACCGTGGACCTCTGGATTGGGAGTGCAATACGCTAGCTATTACACCACGCTGACAGCGGTGTGTTTGATGCATTAGTCACATATACAGTGAGGGAAAAAAGTATTTGATCCCCTGCTGATTTTGTACGTTTGCCCACTGACAAAGAAATGATCAGTCTATAATTTTAATGGTAGGTTTCTTTGAACAGTGAGAGACAGAATAGCAACAACAAAATCTAGAAAAACGCATGTCAAAAATGATATAAATTGATTTGCATTTTAATGAGGGAAATAAGTATTTGACCCCTCTGCAAAATATGACTTGGTACTTGGTGGCAAAACCCGTGTTGGCAATCACAGAGGCCAGACGTTTCTTGTAGTTGGCCACCAGGTTTGCACATATCTCAGGAGCGATTTTGTCCCACTCTCGTTGCAGATCTTCTCCAAGTCATTAAGGTTTCGAAGCTGACGTTTGGCAACTCGAACCTTCAGCTCCCTCCACAGATTTCCTATGGGATTAAGGTCTGGAGACTGGCTAGGCCACTCCAGGACCTTAATGTGCTTCTTCTTGAGCCACTCCCTTGTTGCCTTGGCTGTGTTTTGGGTCATTGTCATGCTGGAATACCCATCCACGACCCATTTTCAATGCCCTGGCTGAGGGAAGGAGGTTCTCACCCAAGATTTGACGGTACATGGCCCCGTCCATTGTCCCTTTGATGCGGTGAAGTTGTCCTGTCCCCTTAGCAGAAAAACACCCCCAAAGCATAATGTTTTCACCTCCATGTTTGACGGTGGGGATGGTGTTCTTGGGGTAATAGGCAGCATTCCTCCTCCAAACACGGCGAGTTGAGTTGATGCCAAAAAGCTCAATTTTGGTCTCATCTGACCACAACACTTTCACCCAGTTGTCCTCTGAATCATTCAGATTTTAATTGGCAAACTTCAGATGGGCATGTATATGTGCTTTCTTGAGCAGGGGGACCTTGCGGGCGCTGCAGGATTTCAGCCCTTCACGGCGTAGTGTGTTATCAATTGTTTTCTTGGTGACTATGGTCCCAGCTACCTCGAGATCATTGACAAGATCCTCCCGTGTAGTTCTGGGCTGTTTCCTCACCGTTCTCATGATCATTGCAACTCCACGAGGTGAGATCTTGCATGGAGCCCCAGGCCAAGGGAGATTGACAGTTTTTTTGTGTTTCTTCCATTTACGAATAATCGCACCAACTGTTGTCACCTTCTCACCAATCTGCTTGGCAATGGTTTTGTAGCCCATTCCAGCCTTGTGTAGGTCTACAATCTTGTCCCTGACATCCTTGGAGAGCTCTTTGGTCTTGGCCATGGTGGAGAGTTTGGAATCTGATTGATTGATTGCTTCTGTGGACAGGTGTCTTTTATACAGGTAACAAGCTGAGATTAGTAGCACTCCCTTTAAGAGTGTGCTCGTAATCTCAGCTCGTTACCTGTATAAAAGACACCTGGGACAGAAATCTTTCTGAGAGGGGGTCAAATACTTCTTTCACTCATTAAAATGCAAATCAATTTATAACATTTTTGACATGCCTTTTTCTGGATTTTCTTGTTGTTATTCTGTCTCTCACTGTTCAAATAAACCTACCATTAAAATTATAGACTGATCATTTCTTTGTCAGTGGGCAAACGTACAAAATCAGCTGCCGACCAAATACTTGTTTCCCTCACTGTACATTTCTATATATTTGCTGTGTAGTCTTCAGATGAAAAAATGGCAGTGTCTAATTTCCTCTGCAGCAACGCATTGGAATATTTTTTATTTAACTGAGATAATGAAATACAAATGCTCGATGAGGAATGGATACACTTGATAATTTATACTCGTAAATAAATAACATTGACCTTGTAAATATTGATTCATTTCACAACATTTTGCTGTGTTTGACAGTGAATTAATGTTTCTTGAATCAGTACCTATTTCGTAACCATCTAGAAACGTCTCTTCCCCATTAACGTATAAAACTACCGCGGCTCCACTCTCATTTAATGAAATTACGTTCCGATGAAAATACATTTTCCTCCGAATGTTAAATACTAGTTATTTTGCAAACGCCCGTCAAAAACAATGAACGTTTCTCAAATACCACTGTACATGCATTCCCTCTGTTCACTATAATTTCCCCATTTCACATCTGAATGTAATAAAAGGCGCGGGTAATCCGGAAGGAATTTCCCTTTAAAGCTCTTTCACTAAACGCGCGTCCTGCCCGGCCTGCGAGAGCGAGCGAGCGAGAAAGGTAGGAACCGGAGCTCTATGCTGTAACAACGTCACGCGTGAACACAACGTTAACATAGCAGACACGGACAGCTACAGCCTCAGCTGTTGTGGTGAGCTTGATGCATTTGGCGGTGTTCGTAAAATGCAATCATCCTCTTGAACAAGCGATAAAAAAGCCGTCAAAGTGATTTCTTACTCGTGGGCGCATTGAGGTGTCCATTTCATACTCACAGCCAAGTCAGTCGCTGCAATTCCACATTCCTATGACGGCGGCTCGTCTTTCTATAGTACCGTACAACCACTTTTGAATTCCAAACAAAGTGGAAGTTATTGTATTGACCCCGAAGCGATGATCGGCTGAGTCAACTACCAACCAAGATGTGAACTCGCGACCTTCCAACTGCGAGCGACTCAGGCCGGACACACACACAGTGACACCCAGCCTTCGATTAAGACCTTCCCAAGTTATCCTTGTTTAAGGGGATATTTGACCATGATTCACATTTAAAGTATAGCAAAATAATTTCAGGTGACATTCACACAAAGGTTACAAATATTCGTTGTACAAATCGACTCCTGTATGTATGTTGAACTTCTTTCGCACCGTACGTAGCCAACCGCGCTACTCGGAGGTGCCGTTTGCCTGCTCGTGTTTTTCTTTATCTGTGCCATTTGCGCGCCAGATAGTTTGACGTGACAGCACACCACGCTCCGTGGGCCACCACGACAACTGTGCGCCCGTGTCGAGAGGGCAGCGTGACAGTCGACTTCTCTTGAGCAATGTGGCCCCGAGCTCAACACAATAACGGTAATGTATCTCTACAGGTTAAAATTTAATAGCTATTGGGTTTTTTTAAAATCTTAAAATGGAAACACCATTCATGTGTTTTGTTCTGACGACACACAAAAAACACATTTTGTCCGATCGTAATTGATATAACGTTAGTTTCCCAGCGGATCGCATTACTACTCAAATGACACTGCATGCCAACACTGCAATCGTTGCTCACGATGGGCACGAATAATCACGGCCAATGAATGGAACTTAGCCAAGAGGACGGCAGCAATTGAGATGGAGCGATGAAAACAGTTTGTGTGCATGTTCTAAATGGATTCTTACACAGCAGGAACATGAGAGGTGGTGGTGGTGGTGGCGGCTTGGGTAGGCTTTCATCCAGCAGTGGATTGACCATGGATAATGAGGATAAACTTTTACACCCTCCCTGTGATCTTGTAACATGTCAACATGTGTGCGTAGTGGGATAATAAGATTATTTATCTGGCGACTCTGTCACAGGCAGTTGATTAATATCGGGGTCACAGCATTGCCCGCCAGGTGTGGAATGAGGGGGGGGGGGGTTTCCCGGGTCATTACCAGCCTCGCGAGCCAGGCGCACCGTGCCCTGGGGAGTCTGCGTCCCGGGACATTACCAGCCTCGCGAGCCAGGCGCACCGTGCCCTGGGGAGTCTGCGTCCCGGGTCATTACCAGCCTCGCGAGCCAGGCGCACCGTGCCCTGGGGAGTCTGCGTCCCGGGTCATTACCAGCCTCGCGAGCCAGGCGCACCGTGCCCTGGGGAGTCTGCGTCCCGGGACATTGCCAGGCCAAGCATCTTAGAGAAAGGCGAAGGTGCCCTCTGACAGAAAGAATCTCATTGGGTGGGCAGCTCGAGTGAATCCCGTGGTGGAGTTGGGAGATTTCGAGTAAACGGGGGGGGGGGTTTATTTACCCCCAGCCAGTGGGGAGGGGGGTGAGGATTTTGTCTACCTCGGAGATTAAAATTCCACAGCAGTCTTTGATAAGGGAGATTTTCTCACCTGACAGCTAAGCGCGGTATTTGAATCCTAGTCAAGTAAAAAAAAGTCCGTGTAGGGCCATGCTAATCAACTGTAGGGCCATGATAATCAACAGTGGCAGACATTCCACATTCCTATGCTGGGGGAGAGTTCCCCCATAGGACCAGTGCTGACTTCTCACAAAATAGTACTCTAATGACTTGATTTACGAGAGACACGATTGGTTGAGCCAAGCCTCCAACGGGAATTGAACTCGTGTCGTGTCACTAAATGTTGCTAATTGTCATTCATGGAAATACAAGCTTATATACAATACACAAAGACAGACACACACACACACGCGTGTGCGTGCAGTGAACCGACCATGATAAAAAAGAACCCGTGAGAGTAATGCATCAGAATCTGACGTTGGGTTTATTACTCTTTGCAAGAAATGATTGTCTAATAAATAAAAGTTAAAAGAAAGCGATGCAAGGGCATGTTGATTGATTTACCACCAGGTGGCATCACATCCGTTCATTCAAAACACAACTGACCACATGTCGTGTGGGTGGTTGTTGTTTCTAGACTGGGCTTCCCCGCTCTCACTCCGCGGCGATAGCTGCTTGTAAACTACTGTAGACGCGCGCGTGGTGTCTGTCTGTGTCTGTCTGTGTGTGGCTCGTTACTCAATGAAACAGAGGCACTGAGAAAGGGGGGGGGGGGGGCAACCTGTTGATTAGCTTTAAGACGGTAGCAATAATATACAGCAAACAACCCTCGTGGTCCCTGACATCGTCAACGCGACCTGGAGTCGTGCCAACGTTCAGGGGGACTTGGGCTACACTGCAACAACTGTCCATCACGCGGCGGCATCCCTCTTGCACGTTCAAATCCACTGCCCTTCGGTATAGCCCAACGAAGCATCTCTGGAGCTTCCACGCAATTTAAGACTCCACAAAGACCGCACCAATAATTCATTTGTGCGCAATCTATTCTTACAGTATTTGGAAAGCATTTTTTTAGGAAAGGACGGGGAGAGTTTATATACTTGAATGCTACAGTAACACTAACACTCAGTAAATATACACTAAATCAACACAACTGACAAATCAAAATGTTGTAACGATTTAAGTCCCGTTACTTGCTAATTTTCAGACGTGACCTTTCCTAGATTTCGCGGAGATGATTCGGAAAAATTACGATTTTTTTTTGTTTAAAGAAACGCTGAAATTTGTCAAACAACACGCACTTCGTAACAATCTTAACATTGCATCACCATGTATTGTTTAAGCAGGAACACTATGTAACAAAGTATACACATTACTGTAAGGCACAGTGCAACACTGTTTCAGGCGTGCCATACAATGTCCGTTTTGAGTGTGTCGATTAAACACCATGCAATGTTTATGCGTCTCCTTACGTCATTACAAGTAATCATAAAGTGGATCGTATAGGGACACTTTTTTTATTTCAATCCTAATTACGGTAATCATTTTTCTTCCACTCGATATAATGTTTCATGTGATTGTCAATGCAACTCGGAATCTCTTGCTCCCGTCTGGTAGAGATGTCATTCCAGTCCGGTAGAAATATTACTCCAGTCCGGGATAGATGTCACTCCAGTCTGGCAGAGATGTCACTCCAGTCTGGCAGAGATGTCACTCCGGTCCGGGATAGATGTCACTCCAGTCTGGTAGAGATGTCACTCCAGTCCGGTAGAAATATTACTCCAGTCCGGGATAGATGTCACTCCAGTCCGGTAGAGATGTCACTCCAGTCCGGTAGAAATATTACTCCAGTCCGGTAGAGATGTCACTCCAGTCCGGTAGAGATGTCACTCCAATCCGATAAGAGATGTCCCTCCATTCCGATAAGAGATTTCACTCCAGTCCAGTAAGGATGCCACTCCAATCCGATGAGAGATGTCACTCCAATCCGATAGAGATGTCACTCCAACACGGGCGGCACTTCGCTCACAACGATGCCGCCATCGTCGCAGGTCCATTGAGTTGAGCATCGAGGAAAGCGTCGGTAAAATAAATTAAAACACGGGGTGCGGTGATCGGCAAAAAACGTTCCAAGCAACACTCTGGAGGTGTAAGCGTTTTCGACTGCTTTCGGTCTGCGGAAAATGGAAGAAATCAACAAAGTGCAACGCTCCAAATCCAACGGCCCACGTGCTGCACAGCTAACACCAAACAGTCGAGCAAAAACCATTGTCGTCCAGGTTGTCCGCTCCGTTGCCGCAAGCTTGCGCGCTCCGCCACGCCGCGCCGGTGCCTCTGGCTGCCGCCGCCGCACGGAGGGGCGCGCGGCGGAGGGACCGACCGCCGCGGCGTTCGTGTCGAGTCCGGAGCCGTGGTTCGCGCCGGGGTTGGGCGGTTTCGAGGAAGGCCGGGGGTCGCCGAGGGACGGAGCGGCTCTGGCGCGCGGTCGTCCACGCGGCCCGGCCGGGGCGGCGGCCGCCCGCGTGGGCCGCCGGGCGGGCGGCCTTAGAGGTACTCGAGCTCCAGTGCGTGGTGCAGGGCCATCAGGTCCGAGTGGCCCGAGATCCTCCAGAAGGGCATGTTGTGCTGCAGGGCAGGGGCACGGCGTTAGCGAGACGTCTCCACGGCCACCGAGCTCCAACGTCTCGCGACGCATGGCGAGTCGTCACAATGCATCGTACAATTATAGAATACGCTACGCAGCAACACAATAAATACAGAACACACTGACATGCTATGCTGTGCAATACATTAAATATGGTAATACATTCATTATAACCTATTACAATATAACAATACATTTACAATGAATTATACCAATGTAGAATTAAATGTTAAATATATACATGGCAAATACATTAATATAGTTTAACAATGCATTCCATTATAATACGACAGTACGATTGAGTATAACACCTACATTTATATTGCATTACGCAATACCGTAATATGATAAATACGATCAATCACAATGGAAAACATGAACAATCCGTCCGCTGTAGATTGGCACGTCGTGTTTAAATTCAGTCTTTCCACTCGCTGCGTCTGTCCATGCGCATGTACTCACAGCGCATACAGAAGGGCACAGAGGGAGCCACACATGTCAGCTAATTTTGCCATACACATACCTCGTTTAAAATTTCACATTCAATTTATAAAATACGTAAACAAAAAATAAAAGAAAGTCCAGTCATGGAAATTTAGGAATAAAACAGTATGTGCTTAAAAACTATTCAACATTCTGATGAGCGTCCATTTTTCCAAAAGCATGGAATTTGACTTGGCCCATCATCCCTCTGTGGTCGATAAGTACAGTCCTACTTTGTAGGGAAGTCAACAGTGGCTGCCCTCTGGATAGACTCGCACCCACCACTGATTCAGGGCTGTTGAGAGGAGATGAGCACTGCCTCGATGCTCAATTGAGCAGGAAACCACTTTGACTTTGGAATTAAGCAACGAGGGGAAATATCGTCGACGTGCGGGGGCGAGCGGACAGCCACGGGGATGCTCGACGTCGTGCCGGCAAAGGAAGGGGGGGGGGCACACCTGCCAAGTGACCTCCGGCTTTTTTTTTCTTCCAAAGAGAGAGCATTTTATCTGTAGCCATTAATTTGTTTAATTGTCCACTTGGTCAGAAGAAATCCCTCTGCTGTAAACACGCGGCGAGAGCCGGCGCGGTGACCCCGCCTTGACGCCCCCGCACTGACCCACGCCCTAACCCCCTCCGGCTTGGCACTCTCAACGCTTTCCCTTTCCAATTAAAGTTCTGCCATCGCCGCGGAGGGAGATCCTCGCGGCGACGCGTGCATCTGCTCCCTTCGGTACGTGCTGATGCGGCGCTGAGCCCAGAGGGAAGAAACCCACGCGGGGTGGTGGGCGGTGGGCGAAGGTGGTGGGCGGTGGGTGAGAGAGGTGGGCGAGGGCGGTGGGGGAGGGTGGTGGGCGAGGGCGGTGGGCGAGGGGCAAGGGCGGTGGGCGAGGGCGGTGGGCGGTGGGGGAGGGTGGTGGGCGAGGGCGGTGGGCGGTGGGGGAGGGGGGTGGGCGAGGGCGGTGGGCGAGGGGCAAGGGCGGTGGGCGAGGGCGGTGGGCGGTGGGCGAGGGCGGTGGGCGAGTGAGTGGCGGGCAGTGACACCAGGGCGTGGATAGGAAAACCACGTCGCTCTCAAGCACGGGGGGATGCTGCCGTCGGCACTATGGTAATCACGCTGGACTTGCAATCCAGGGGTCGGCAGTTCGATCCCATCCCTCAGCTCAGCGGGTAAAACGATTGAGCAAGTTTCTTAAATCCTCCCCGCCTCTGTTTGCCCCGTATTAATGGGTACATCAGTTAGTCGATCGGGGGGGGGGGGGGGGACACTACGAGGGGGCATTGGGTACTGCGAGCGGTCTCGGCGCTGCTGCCCCCGTCTGCCGCGAGGCTGTATCGGCTATCGGCGTGCGGGCCGTGCCGAATCGGAGACAGCTGTGTACACAGTCGCAGGCGTCGGCGGGGCCAGACAGAGAGCCGGGGTTTAGGATCCCCAGGGGAGAAACCCTCGTGCACATTCGTGCCTTGGCTTCCCTCACCCCAATAACTGCCCCCAATTTAATGAGAACTCCAAAATAATCCCCACTGTTTTGTCTGTCTGTGCAGTCAATCACGTCACTGCTGGGTTTGTCGCAGCGCACGGCTTGAGAAACACGGGTTGCTCACCTATTACTAAAATAGCGGACGGAGTTAATTTGTCAAAATATTCGCCAGATTTCTTTTAAATACACAAACCACGCACGGCTATCCCATTTCGTCAATAGGGCAGCCTCGTGTCACAGTTGACGTTCTACCGGACCTCACTTCCAATGAGCAGGACGGCGCCTTGCTGAACATCGCGGTCTGCGTGAGCGTCTCGTCTCGCGCGTCTACGGCACGTGACTTGATTTCACGAACGCTGGTGAAATGTCATCATGTTTTTCTTCCCCTCCCAATATCTGCATTGAACCGAAACGCGATTAACATCACATCCGCGGAACGGCAAGTCCCTACAGAGGAACAAACAACGGCTGCCCAAGACTTCCACTCTCTCAGCCTCTTGCGGCGCAATCCTCGACAGTCCCAGCAGCTCTTTCAACGACGCGAGAAGCAACGTTATTTTAACAATAACAAAAAAGCGCGTCAAGGTCATTACCGTCGTATGTCCACTGACCCAACCGGAGCTCCCGGCACGCTGAGACGTCACAGGAAACAGGCTTCTTTCCCCTCTTGGATCGTCGTGGGGTTTCTCATCGATTGCATGCCCGGGTCGGGTTACTCCATTGCCAATTGTAGTTAAATGTAGGCGTGTTCACCAGAGGGGAGAAGCAACTTCCACCGCTAAACCTATGGCGATGGCCGTCTCGTTGCACGCGGCTCCCTGGTCGACACGTCTCGGCTCACAGCGCCCAGCGCGAGCGTGCAGCCAACTCGGGGGACGCCGTCGTCAGCGTCCGGGGCTCCACGTTGCTTCCCACAGAGGCAGCTCACCTCTGCAGACCCAGCAGCCTCGCCGCATTCCTCTCTCCCTCCCTCCCCCTCTTTCCACTTTACCATCTGTATGCACTCTACCCTAAAATAACAATAACATAAGGCTAACATTTTAAGAAGCCTTTTTGTAAAACCTTAAATACCACTCGGTGACTTCGAGAAAATGTCAGCGGACATCTGTACGAGCAATATCCGAAATATGTTCTGCGTCAGGTGTCTTGTTTGTTGCATTTGACATTTCTATTTGATTTCCTTAATTTATGCGCTGTCTGAATGTGCATCGAAACGAATGCACAAGATAGTCGCACACACCGGAGTACAGCGTGCACCCAGCGCTTTCTCCTCGCCTTCTTCACACATCAGTGAGCGAGCGAGCGAGTGGTGCGGTGTAGGAAACCGCCTCCGGATCTAATCGTCCGCCCGCCTTTATCTCTATTTGTCCCTCCACACAAAATGTTTTAGCAACACTCGCTCGCCCAACGCTGGGCATCCCCGCGAGCGCTCTTGTTTATGTTGTTCCTGTGACCACAAACAGCCCGCGTCACCGCCCGGGCCCCGTGGCCAGGTTCACCGAGGGGATGTTGCGAGGCCCCGGGCGGCGTCAGCTGCGTGCTGTCTCTCGCGCTCATGAGCCCAGCGATCCCGCAAAGCTCACTTACCCCACCAACACCACCAACAACAACACCTACCCCACCAACACCACCTACCCCACCAACACCACCTACCCCACCAACAACACCTACCCCACCAACACCACCGACCCCACCAACACCACCAACACCACCTACCCCACCAACACCACCTACCCCACCAACACCACCTACCCCACCAACACCACCTACCCCACCAACACCACCAACCCCACCAACAACAACAACCGCCATTCGCCACTAATTGGCGGTGACGCCACCACGACGCTTGTGCCAGGCCATGTGCACCTTGAGGCCACGTGAAGTGTCGAACGCCCGCTGGCAGGAGGTCACGGGGCAGACCCAGGTGCCACGGGTCGACTGACTGAGATGACTGGCTGATGCACCACCTGTGCCCCCTACTGTGCCAACCTGCTGTGCTTCAGCCACCCGGCGCTCCACTCGTTGTTGTGAGCGTCGCTCCTCCGCCCTCCATTGATGTTGGAGGGCGACTGCCTCCAACTGCCCAGTAGCGTCCTTCACGAGCCTCCTCCACAGAGGCCGATCTTGATACCGCTGGTACCAGTCATCGGCAAGTCCACTCAGCTCCACGTCCTCCTGTACCACATCACTCCATCTCTTCTCTAGCCCGTGCCGCGCCCGTTTAGCCCCCTCGATTCCACTGAACAAAAGCTGTTTCAGCATGCGGTGGGTGGGCATGCGGGCTACGTGACCCAGCCAACGCAGCCTTGCCTGCCGGAGGAGCTCACCGATGGGACCTTGCCCACCCACCAACAACACCTACCCCACCAACACCACCTACCCCACCAACCCCGCCGAGCCCACCTACCCCACCTACCCCACCAATGCCACCTACCCCACCGAGCCCTCCGGCTCCCGCGTGAGCAACAATGATACCTGTTCAACTTTCTGATAGATGCCCGGTGCTGACATGACAAGTTTTTCCCTTGGCCAAATTATTGACGGCAGAACTATAGTTATGCAAATCGCATGCTTATGTGCTTTCAGCAGTAATAGTATGGATAATACAAAACATCACAACATACGGAACATTTAGTACAAACAAGATTACTTAAATATGACAGAATCGATTCTTAAATCAAACCTCTAACATTAACAAACTGTAATTTAATAACCATTGCAATCACGTGTTTGCTTATCCGGCCCTTGACATCGGCAACAGGGAGCGGAGGGTTGGATTGTGGGCAGCGTTGCCGCATCTCAACCGCTGCAGGAGGAATCCGATGAGCTATGAAGCTCTTATCACAGATGTAAGCAAGTTACAACAATACAAGCCTGCATACTAGAGCTATTGTTATTTTACACGATGGATAGTAGTTGGACTTCAAGTAAGCCAGGCATTATACTTAATTTATTTACGTCTAGTTTTTACATATCTATAAAACGTTTCACAAAGCTGTGCATCCATTGTGAGCACAGTAAACGTCATGTCTAGGGATGGAATGCGTTGGAGACGGAGAGATGAAATCGGCTCCTGTGCAGCAGATGCAGGGTGGATTGTTACATCACAGGATTGCGAGAGGTTAGGATGCCTTGGGGAGGCTTTCATCATCCAGCAGTGGATTGATCATGGCTGATGAAGACAATGGAGTGTACGACATGATGCAGACATGTTGCCAACCCTTTTACTTTACACAAACACAAGTCCCGCACGCGCGGTGGGAATTTTCTACATAACCCGTAGGCGCGTTTGTGTAGACTTGTTCGTAAGAAAGCGTTTCCATGTTGTGTTGCAGAGGGGAGAAGCACAGAAGCGTTTCGAGAGCACGCGCTGCGGGGGGCCCGGGGCGTAGGGAAGGAGAGAGAGCGGCAATCGAGGCGGCCTGCAACGCTGGTGTCACCGGCACCGCCGCGGAGGCCGCCGACGTTCGGCGCTCCGCGGCGGTCTCGGCCAATCGGAGGCCGCGGAGGGAGACGGGGGCTGCCCTGATTCGCGGCAGCGAAAGCAAAAGTGAGAGCCACGCGGAGCCACGCAGAGCCAACACCGCGGTAGCGCCGGGCACAGCGAGCAGCGCCCGAGGAGAGTGACGTTACAAGGTCAGCTTCATAGCCGGTGCATCATGCGAGCGCCGTCTCCGCTGCTCTGGGTGTTCCGTTTATGTTGACCTGAACGAGCCGAGCGCTGTGTGGCTGCGGTCCGACTGGCAGGCGCCGCTCGACGGTGGCGGCTGTCTGTACGCGGTGGCCCCCGTGCGACGGTTCATGAGGAACTCGCTGGCAGCGCCCACACTGCAGCACCACCGCGGTCGGTACGGCGCTACGCAGACGGCAGCGGTGAGCCGTGAAATATTCCCTGAAGTTATCTTATCTTTTTAGATGTATAGAACCCCTTAGCCCACAGCGCTTTACAAAAATGTATAAAATTGTACATTAGATGCTTTAATGTTTATGGAGTTGCAGTAATTATATAGCAGTGGATTGCTCATGGCCAATGATGATGAGGAAGTGTAAAGTCTTCAGACCTAGCTTCACAGCACGGTGGCTTTAAACACTCACATCATGAATCCCTGTAGAATAACCGCTTGAGATGATTATTTTATTGTAAGTAATCTCGATAACGACTCAACCGACTCCACGACCAATCGCAGCCGAGAGCGAGACACCGGCGTTCCCACGGTGCAACGACACCACCACGTCACGGCAGAGAAACAAGCGTCGCTGGCAGAGCGTCGCACGGGAACCAACGGCGGCGTCGCCGTCCTACGAGGCTGCCGCCGCTCGCACGCTGCACACAGCAGCACAGCGAGCGGGGAGGGGGCGGCGTGCGTGCAACAGAGATGGCACGTGGTGTCACGGCGTGGTAGCATTTACCTTCAAGGCTGACTGCTCCTCTTCAATCCCATCGCCAATTACAACATACACTACTTTCCTACCAAACCTGGCAATTATTCGCTCGAAGGAGCTTTCCTTCCCTGGAAAATAGAGGAGATAAAAAGGGGGAGAGAGAGAGAGAGGGCGCTGAGTGGGTGCCCCCGGGGCTCGCCGGCCCCTCGTGTTACCTGCGTGGCGGCCTGCTCCTCGTCGCGCCCGTCCCCGACCACGACGTACGTGACCTTGCGGCCGAAGCGCGCCAAGATCTGCTCAAAACAGTTCTCCTTGCCTGGAAGAAACGTCGGGCGGCATCCCCGGCGCACGGTTACGGCACGCGCCGGGACTGCTCGCGGGGCCACTGACGCGCGAGGACAACGCGGGAGGTGGCCCGCTCCTGCCCCCCCCGGCATCGCAACGAGCCCCTTGACACTCGGCGGCGGAGCGAACGGCTCGCGACCGTCAGGTTACGAGTTTACGTCCAGTTTGTGGGTTGACACGGTCCATTGTCATCATCCTCTGGGATCGATAAAAATTAGTACAAATTTGTGGGTAAGTCAACAGTGGTTGCTCTATGGATAGTCTCTCTCCCATCATAGGCATGCGAAATTTCCACCATTGGCTCAGGGCTTTTAAGAGGAGTTGAGCCCCAATGCCTTAACGCTTGAGCAGGAAGTCAGTTTCCGTGGAATGCAACGTGGGGCAATCGCCCAGGATAATGATCCCCGCTCCAACTCATCCATTCTGTCGTGAATCTATGAAATTACACAGTACCGTGTCATGTAGATCTATCATAGTGAATCTCTGAATTTACAGAATTGTCTATACTGAAATTAATTGACTTCCCTATTTCACAGCACACAATACAGACTGCTGCGATGAGATGATTAAATCTTGACTTAAAGATTTCGTGACTGCAGGAATTAGTATTCTTGGGTCTTTCGGTAAAATCACGTAGATAGTTTTAATGAAAATAACTAAAAATAACAAAAAACTCCGACGTTTCGATCGCAACACAAGCGGTCGTCTTCAGGAAAAAAAAAGAGATGGAATAATATAAACTATAATCGCAGCAGTGCACAATGACCGCATGACAGCAGAAACACAGAAAGCTGCCGATCGTTTGAGGCAATGACCATTCTCCAGTCCAAAAATAAAGCCAAAGGATGCACTGGCTTACATCCAGAGATCACACAAGTGCGTGTGCATCTGTGCACGTGTGCTGTGCCAGCATTCAAAGGTGCAGCACTTGCCCCAACAGTCTGTTAAGGCTATACGGGGGAACTTTATGTTCGTGTGTCTGCCTGAACGTGTATGCATCTACGCTTGCGTGTGTCCGCGTTTGCGTCAAAGCATGCGCCCGCGTCACTGCGTCCGTATGCCCCTCCGCGTGCTTGCGCGAGCGTGCGAAGGCTGTGGAGTGTGGGGCACGCACCGATCTTGGTGGCGCTGTAGATGTTCTCGATGGGGAAGACGCCGCCAAGGCCGTAGAGCAGCACCTTGGCCAACGCCGGAACGAGCTGCGTGGTCGTCACCAGCACGTTCACGCAGTTCCCCCTGGGCGCGGGAGGCACGGGACGTGCGGGAGACGTGATGCAACGCTACTCGTGCACTTCTCCAACGGTAGCGAGATTTATTTTAAATATGTTGCCGTATATTCATACGGTGTACTTTGCAAAGGTCAATGGCAGTTACAGACTGTGGGCTTTGGTCATGGCCAAATTAATTGCTCTTCTTCCACACCAATTGGGCCGCTTTTCATATAAACCATAAAAACACCACGCGCAGTCCGCTTCACAGTGGACGTTAAAGGTCGCGTTACATCATTTGAAGCGAGCAGGCCATTGTGTGCCGGCTTCACGCTCCAAATTTGCCAAAATCAGAACATTTGCCCACAAATTACGCGATTGGGGTCACACAGCAGCGACACCTTCCCCTACTTCAAATCTACCGCAGGCTATGTCTGTGAAACATAGCGTCTTCCTACACGGTAGCCTAGCACGACAGGAATGTCTCGAATAACAAACCTACTAATCTGCCTCACTTCAGCAGAATCTATGGAAACACCCGCACACGTGCAACACAATAGAGTTTAATAAAACAACAATATTGAGATGTAAAATTGTCTCTGAGCACCACACGCTCGTCCCCGCTGGCCTACCCCGCGCCACCAGTCACCCCGTTGGCTTTTGCGACAGCGACCAAAAGTCTCCATGCCGGCGCTGGAGCTCAAAGTGGACTCCAACACTGATAGGTGCAGAATAAACAATTCTCCTGGCACCAGAAAGAGTGTCAATCTCGCTCTGTCACATTATAAGAAAACAAAATCACGTTTGGTTTGTTTTGGAGCAGAGAGAGCGTGACTGCGTCATTTTGAAATTCGCGAAAGTCTCAAAGCGCAAAGATTCAGTATTTGGCTCCTCATTAAATAAATACAAATATAAGTTGTTGTCGGTTCTGTGTAACTATCTAACAACGTACATTATGAATACGAAGTCAAGATGATAAGCGTTGACCATCATGGCTCTGCAGTCACAACAGAATTCGTTCCAAACAGAATTGGAAATTATGCTGCCAGGAATTTGAAACACGCTTCCGCCATCCCGCTAGAAATCCCACGAGAATTCTTTCCGATCCCAAAACGACGACATTGACCGAGCGATATCATAAAGTGGCGAAGAGGCTTGTGGAGCGGACACGTGTTTTGCATTGCGGGGGGAGGGCGGTGGCAAAAACTCGGGCGGTGGGGTCTCAAGTCAAGTGGCAGACCACGCTGAGACCGCGAGCGCCAGCAGCAGCAGCCATCCTCCGGTGCCGCCAACCCCCTCCAGGCAGAATCCCCGAACGAGCCCCCTTCCTCTCTCCGAGCGCCGGCGGGCGGAGGCGGCGGTGTGTGGGCTCACCGCGAGTATATCAAGGAGAGCGACTTGAGAGCCAGGGTGAGCCACGAGTCCGTGAGGGCCTCGATCTCCGCCCGGAGCTGGAGCCACGCCTCCCTCTTGGCGGGGCCCAGGAGGCCTGAGCGTGGAGCGACGGCGGAGGGAAACGGCGCAGAGGAACACGTCGTTATTCACAACGACGAGCACCGGAACAATCGGGGCGTCCCCTACGTGGGGGAACCCCTACACAGGGGAACCTCTACGAGAGCGCCAGCGAGACGCCTCGCAGACCGTTCAAGGACCAGGCTGGGCAAAGATGAAACTGTTGACAATTCGGATGCCTCTGGGTTTAAACGTCAAGGCACACGGTGGAATGTTGCAGAATGGGGGGGATGGGGGTGATGGGGGAGATGGGGAACACCAGGGAACAGAGGGGCTTGGACGAGCGAGGAGGGATATAAATGCGTGTTTCAAGGAATGAAAAACATGCATCACGTATTTTTTTTTTTTTAAGCAAAGCGATTTCCTCCTCAAATGAGCATTGTGCCCATTGCCTGCTGAGAGCTCAGAGCCAGTGGTCAGAATTCCAGAATCTCATGGCAAGGAAAGTCTATCCATAGTACAACGCACACACAGACGTAGACATACACAGACCACCACACAGTCAGCCATACACATAGACACGAGACAGCTGTGCGCCAAACAATGTCGACACTGCAAGCAGCTCCGCTATGATTGAGCAGACGAGCGAGAGAGAGAGAGGAGCGGGGCGAGGGTGGCCTTGAGAGGCCGGAGGGGGAGGTGGGGGAGAGGGGCGGTGGTGGGAGCGTGGCTGCACTCGCCTCCCACGTTGTTCTTGTAGCTGGTGTACATCTCCTTGACGCGCCGGTAGCGGAAGGCGAGCTTGCGCATCCAGTCCACGCCGCCACGCACGCCCGTGGGCAGGCACAGGTTCGTGCTCGACGCTGCCGCCGCGTGGAACCCGTCCGTGCCAAAGTCGTACGTGCTGCGCCGTGGGGGGGGTGGGGGTGTAGCGGGGGGGGGGGGTTACGGACTCGGCGGCGGAGGTGGAGCCCCACGCACGTTGTGGAGCGAAACGTCGGACGTCGTGCCCAACGGCGTGCGGCGTTGTGTGAAGTGCTTCGGGATGCTTCGGGACGTTCTCCGCTATTTGTTGCCCGGCACGTCCGGTGGCAGCCCTTGTGCTCTCGTTTTAGTTTTGCGATGCCAATGTAATGCATAGCGATCGTCGGCACTTACTTTCATAATTAACAACAGCACTAAGCTAACAACCGCGTTGGCTTTCACTCGAAGACAATTGCCTCTCACCTCAAGTCTTGTCCGTTATCATCTGAGGAAACGTCGTCGATGTGGACTTGATCACATTCCTGTAGGATAAACACGAATGAAGGCTCATTACAAAATCATCTCACGGTTCTACATCATGGAAATGTTCTATCTCAATTCCTTCTCACCTGTCTCTCATCAATTGATCTGTTCCTTGAGGTAAACTGCAACATGTTTGTGTACATTTTATATTCTTCACAAACAAAAATGATTGCCAAGTTTCACATTCATACGTCAATGCCAGGGAGGCAATAACCACTCATGATTGATGCTTCAAATAACTCAAAGAGGAATAAAGACAAAGTGTGGCTTACACAAACAATCATTTGAGACGTCACCATCAAGAGTAAAGGGGGATGGGGGGATGCCAGGAGATGATGATGATGATGAGGAATTACGACGTTTCACCAGTATGGAGTGAGCGCTGCGTTCACTCTGTACTGGCAGAGTGAACGCTCATTCTGCCAGTGCTCACACGGCGCACGGAGCAGCAGCGAGTGAGGCCGAGCGCCTCGCGTTCCCACGTCGATAAGAGGCTGCGGTTAAACTCCGCTCTCACTCGAGACAATTGTCACCTTCTCAATGTCTCAATGTGACACGGCCCTGCCACAACCGGTGCGTGCCGAATGAGCGGCAGTGGGGAAGAACATGTTCTACTGTGCAGTTTTCCGACAGACAAGAGTTTGACGAGCAATAAATAAATAATACAACTTCAACAATTGAATGCCACGAATATTTTATTCGCAATGAGAACGGGTTTGGCCAACGCCCTGCGGCGTCTCATGCCCATGCAAGCAGACACCTGCTGTGGACGCCACGAACCCGCGAGCCTGAGAGGTCACGTGAAGGTCTGCCTGCGCGACTCGCGACGCACAAGCGAGGATATTCATCGCGAGTTGGCATCCATCAATCCTGTCTGCCGCACTCTGGAATGACACTAATTAATTCACCTGAGCACCGTAGCCCGCGTGCACTATCGCATGCGGCTCCTATCTGGTTTACTTCATCATTGTTCACGTGAACGATCCACGTCACGGCAGGTGATCTGTACCGACGGAGGAAATGATCGCGATTTGCCGCTCGCTTAAATGCCTCGCAGCAACTCAGCGGCACCTCACACCGCATCCCAGCTCAACCATTCCAATTACTCCCTGCATTCTAGGCTGTGTTATTGGCTATGGATACTACAGCTCACGAGCGGGTTGTTTGTTTGGATACGGTACACCACACAATGGCGTTCTCTCGTAAAGCGCGTCATCGGATCTTTAACATCCGCAATTGCGTGCAACGGCAGTGCGAGCACGCGCTCCGAGGAGTAGCCCGACCCGGCGGTCTGCGCCCAGCACCGCTGCCGTATCCGGTTACAGAGTCACGACGCGACACCGTGACGTCCGCCACCACCGCCACCACCACGTCCGGCACGTCACTGCGTGCACAACTCCTTGCGGACGACGCGTGCGCTCGACATCCGAGCGCGGCGTCACCAAGATTCTACACACGATCACTTAACAGTGGGAATTACTGGCGATAGCCGACTGGCTCGAGATGTAAATTGCCACCCTATCGTGTTTCATGGAGGGGTAATTATAGGGACATTATTACAGTCAGAACCAGATCCACATGTTGACAAAACGGATAAAACGAATCGCCGATTTACCCATCTTTGGTGGCGGAGACTTTGGCACGTTTTTGTTGAGAAAAGTAATCATCCAAAAATGTAAGTTCGCCATCACGTAAGGCAGGCCAAAGCCTGTGGTGGCCCTGAGCCACTAATGGATATCCCACACTCCGATGGCAGGGACCAGCCTCTGCATCATGACGATGGCACCGCAGGCCCCCGCAGCAGCGAGAGCCGCGAGGACCGCGGTGGCCGGCGGCCGCATACAGTGCGGCAGCACAGCCGGCACAGCGCGAGCCGCGCCGCTCCTTGGGCCCTGGGGCCCCGCAGCCAGCCCACAGCTGTTTCTCACCAGCAGTTTAAAAGCTTGCCCTTTGCCCTTTCCCGTCATGCCTCCCTGGCTCATGAAGAAATCTCTCACCGCCTGCACCACCCTTGTCGCGACTTCTCTGTTTTCTCCGCCACGCTTTGTTTTTAAAAACTATACTTTGTGAACAAATTATGGAACCTGTGGTTATCCCTGCATAAAAACAGGGATCTATAGAGCAGCTTAAGTCTGTCCATTTTAGGCGATGTCCGTTCCGGCTGCCAATGCCAGAAACATCAGCGTCTTATTTAAGTTGAAGTTACAATGGTAAGTTTATTTGATTTGTGCTTGTGTTGTCCATCAGTGCCAAATCAATGCACTATTGCCACTACCAATGCAGATGTTTTACTTTTTGTACGTATCTCTCGTTAAGGTGGCGAAATTATAACACAGCAGCAGTAACATGCTGTGTGCACTTGATTTGCGAGGCAACTGATGGTTTCAATGGTGATGGCACAGAGGGTGATGATGGTGGCGATGATGGTGGTGGCACACAACGATAGAAACAAACATTGCCCAAAGTGCCTAAAGCAGTGATGGCGGGGGGGAGGGTGAGGCCTGCAGCCCAGGCCAAGCCCTGTCCAACGGCAGGGCCACCGGGGAGCCACGCGCACAGCAAAGCAAGCATTCCCATGCCAAGAAACTTTATTAAAAATATGAAGGAATAAAATAATATCTCACTGCTCTGGGAGTTTTTCCTGGTGCAAAACAATAAAAAGCACAGCTGGGTTGCTTTTGAAATTAAAATTACAGTTTATAATGTTGTAATACTGCAGAGACATTACTGCATTAGTAAAATGACTGCTGTACGCCTCGTGCCTTCAAAAGGATTTTTAAATACGATTACAGAATACATTGGTCATACAATGTGTAACAAATTTGTTTTGTTCCTGGGTAGTAAGTGTTATTTCCTAATTGCTTATGCCTAAAAGTACAGAAAATGGCTATTATTCCCCATAAACGTTGCTTTTCTGGCCAGGACAGTGATATTTTGGAATTTACCTATTTTCCAGAACATTCCAGATAGCTTCAGTGCTGAGTAAACTTGGAGTAACTTCTAGAACATTCTAGAATTTTCCAGTAATATAAATAGTAGTGTAAATACAGGGGCCTTAAGCCCACCAGTTCAGTTTAGTTCCAGCTGCCTAAGTGGATACATATCTGCATTTTTCTAAGATGGCATCAAGAGGCTGCAAGCATGCGGCAGACGCATTTTGCTATGTTTGTGGCCAATTTATCAAGACAAGAGCGAAAAAGTACTCTGTGGAAGCATCTGCTAAGATGTGTGTGGCCGACAAGGCATATTTCGGCATGCCTGTCGGGGATCAAGACAAACCCTGAGCACCTAATTTCACCTGCGAGCAATGCAGGTGAAAAGATATATAATATATGAAAAATGTTGCGAGAATCTCTTACACATTAGTCATGGGTGAAATAATTCTAGATTTGAAGCTTTCGTGACTGCAAGGATCCATACTCTTTGGTTCTATTCGGTAAAGTCATGTAGGTAAAAAATAAAACAAAAAATAAAAAATCACGACGTTTCGGCCACAACACAAGTGGCCTTTATCAGGTGAAGGGACCGGACTGTCCAGAGGACAGCGCTGGTGCGAAAACAGCCTTTAAGCTGTGTGGGAGGAAACAGATGCGCCTTGACAAAGGAATTAGCATAAAAAAGATGATGTATAGGACCGGCGGAGGGAGGGGGGGAGGGGAGTTTACATAATGTTGGTGTGAAATTGTGTTTGTAAATCTGAATTGCCTCGTGGAGAAATCTCTGATAAAAACCCGTGGGTTTGCAGAGAACCTTGGTATCAGAGAAAACTATATCGTGATCACCCACAGCGTTGTAACAGTGATCAGCCACGGCAGAAGAATTCGTTCTGCCGTGTTTTAAATCTGATTTGTGCTCGCAAATTCGGTCAGAGACATGTCGCTTCGTCTCCCTGATATAGCAATCACCACAGGTACAGCTCAATTTGTAAACCCCGGGGTACTGTAAGTCAGGAATGACATCCTTCACGGATGGGATCAGGTCACGGATTTTGTGTACTGTTTTGAACCGGACCAGGATCTTGTGTTTGTTTAGAATTTTGGAGATCTTTTTAGTAACGCCTGCTATATATGGAAGTGTGATGGTTTTTATCGGAGTATCAAGTGGTTGTTTCTGTATGGAGGAAGAAACAGCTTGGCGGATGGTACAGTCAGAGTGTCCGTTCCTCTTGAGGGCCAGATGTACATGTTTTAATTCACTGGTCAGGTGGTGTTGGTCCAAAATGCAATGAGCCCTGTGGTATAACGTTTTGATGAGATAATTATTTTGAGTTGGGTGGTGGTGGGAATCAGGTTTCAAGTAGGAATCTGTGTGGGTGGCTTTCCTGTAGACAGAATGTCCCAATGAGCCATCAGGTCTCCTCTCAAACAGAACATCCAAGAATGGCAGCTTGCCATCTTTCTCCACTTCCATGGTGAATTTGATGGCGGGGTGTCTGGAATTGATGTGGTCTAGGAAAAGGTTCAAAGCTGGGAGGCCATGTGGCCAAATGACGAAAGTGTCGTCTACATATCTCTTCCACAGGGAAGGTCTGAGGGTGGAAGTCTGGATGGCGTCTGATTCAAATTTCTCCATGAAAACATTGGCTATCACTGGTGACAAGGGGGAACCCATGGGGATACCCTCATTTTGTTTGTAGAACGTGCCATTCCAAGTAAAGTAGGTATTGGTGAGGCAGTGCCTAACCAGCGCAGGTGTATCGGGGTCTAGTCCATGTTGGACCAGATTTTCAATTATTTCAATGGTATCAGGTACTGGGACCTTGGTGAACAGAGAGACCACATCGAAGCTGACAAGGATATCGTTAGGGGACTGTACAACGAATTCTTCTTCCGTGGCTGATCACTGTTACAACGCTGTGGGTGATCACGATATAGTTTTCTCCGATACCAAGGTTCTCTGCAAACCCACGGGTTTTTATCAGAGATTTCTCCACGAGGCAATTCAGATTTACAAACACAGACACAATTTCAACCGAGAGGATGGTTTCAAATTAAGCAAT